AATGGAAAAAGTGGGTTTCAAAAAAAAAAAAAAAACCAGCACCTGCAAAGAGCTAGATGATAAAAATCACAGCTTGGCCAGAGACTAAGAGTGGCCAAACGTCAGCCAAGTGTATGTATTTGGGGAGGGTTCAGATGGATCAAACCAAGCTCATGAAAAGCCTTGACTGCCATGCTTGGTGGGATTCAGCCTGTGGGTGGTAGGGTTCGTGAGGAGTCACGCCCCTGACCCAGCTCCTCAGCTGCATCTGAGAAGCTCTCTCACATCTGCTCTCCTCTCTGCAGATCATCAAGGACCAGAAGCTGCTTGTGATCGTGGGGGGCATGCTGCTGATTGACCTGTGCATCCTGATTTGCTGGCAGGCTGTGGACCCCCTGCGAAGGACGGTGGAGAGGTACAGCATGGAGGTAAGCATGGGGGGGGCCGCGTCCCGCCGACTTCCTCTAGACACGTTGGGACAATGAGGCAGCATATCTTCCAGACTGCCCAGACCCATCAGAAACACTTCACTGATTCCTTTCCCTTTCGTTTGAGACATGCATTATTTCAGGAGGGCCACCTGTAAAGTATCGTGAAATAATTTACTATTGGTATTAATATCTGCAGTATTAAGGTAAAATGTCGAGCTGTTTAAAAGAATATATTTTCATATATTGTGGAAGTCCCATTTATATGATCCATCATTTGAAAAATTACATTGCATTTTTACCTTTCCTTTCAAGTACATTCCCTAAGGAGTGCTGCTAAGGAGTAAATATCCTGATAGCACCTTCTAGTTACTATGTGATTTTCCAAGTGATGAGTAATATATTCCCTATTGCACATTTGATATCAGGTATTTGCTGTTAAAATTAAGAACCTTACATAAAAGTACTGTTAAATACATATTTTGACTGTCTTGCATTCAGCCTTGCCCTGAATTCACACCAGACTTCCCAGGATGCTCCAGAGTGGAGAAGTTGAGTCCCTGTGGACGTCATGGTTTTGTTGACTTTTCCTTAGAGCAATCCAGTGTGACTCTGTCGGGTGGAGCTGGCTGCACGGGGCTGTGGTGTTTCGTGCCATTTCTATTCAGTGTAGCAAATTCTATTAAGAAAACCAGACTCTCCATTTCTCTCGCAGCATTATTAGGGAAATCTTTTTGTGGAACTTAATGTGAATTCTTAAACTAAACTAGAAATGGTCATTTTATGTATTGAGAACAGAGGATTTTATCCTTCTAGAAAAAAGCAAATAGAATGTCCTTCCACATTTAGCTCAAGACAGATGGAGAGCTTACTCTATCCAGGAAGAAGTTCAGCAACTGGAACCTGTCCTGTGGCCCAGTGGTTAACAGAGGTCAACCTCATGGGACTGACTGCATGGTTCAAATCCTGGCCCTGGTGGCTTAAAATATGTGCCAGGCTTGTCTGTATGCATGCTCATAATGCTGACAGGATAAAGAAATGGAGAAGGGTTTGCAGTGTGACCACACCCTTAGGAGATGCTTTCTCTTTGTCTGTCTCTCTGGTAAGTGCATGTACCCTGTGGCTTATAAACCAAAAACTAAAACAAAACAAAAAGAAGTTTGGCAATTGGAGCAGTGGCTGAAAATGACATTTAAGAAACAGATTTAGGGGCTAGTTCTATGGCCTGGTGGTTAAGGCAGCCAAATCTCATATGGCCAACTGCACAGTTCAAATTCTGGACCTTGGAGGCTTAAGAAACATTCCAGGCACATGTGTGTTCATGCCCAGAATCCCAAAAGGAAGAAATAGAAGAGAAGGGATGGAGGGAGAGATGGAAGAGAAGGGATGCTGGCATGATCTTTCCCCATAAGGAGGTGCTTTCTCCTCTTTCTCTCTTTCTCTGTCTCTCCATCTCTCTGGTGAGCACATGTGCCCTCTAGCAAAGAAAATAAAAGAAGAAAGAGATTTAGGACTGTGCTCCTCCATCTCACCACCTTCTACATATGTCCTGGAAGGATGTGGGACTCCAGACAGGCAAAACCAGAACTGGCAAAGAGGATGGAGTTGATACTGTCTGTGCTCAGGGGCTATGGAGCAGGAACTGAGCTCACTTGGGCAGACAGCTGTCTCCAGAGGGAACATCTGGTCATCCCTGATCATGCTCCGTTAGTAACAGAACACCTGCCTCCCTACCGCATCCCTGCCTGCCACTAAGATTTAGAAATCCAGGCAGATGTCAACACCAGGAAGAGCTGTCATTGGCTGATTGGGCCCCTGGGCTAGGGAGAGCCTGGAGTGATGATAATAATGAGCAATAATGATGATAATGGTGATGACGATGATGACAGCTGGCATTAAGTTTAACTCGTTTAATCCTCACAACAACAGTAGGTGCTGCTGTTAACCCCATTTCACTGATGACCAAACAGACACCCAGAGAGGTTGCGTAACTTGCCCAAGATTACCTAACAGGTTAGTGGTGACACCACTAACTACCGCCTGACCCATCACCCTACCTTGTCCTTCAGTACTTGGCCAGCTCTTTGCAGTTTTATGAGGCTTCCCAGATCTTTGTTCTTTGGTCACACATCTGAGAGAGGGTAGGGTGGGAACTGTTTTCCCATCCTGTAGATAAGGACTGAAATGAGTCACAGGCAGACCAAGGGCCTGGGATGTGAGGGAGGGGAGCAAAGTGAGTCAGGAAGAGCTCACGGGAAGACCTAGAGCCGGGACAGGTGGACAGAGACCAGACTCTAGGAGCTCAATGCTGACCCCAAGGTGGATGGGAGGTTGAATGACTGCTGCCTCCACCCTAGGTTAAAGTGGGGTGAGTATGCACAGGGAGTCCAAGTGCGTCTGGCTGTGGCAGGGAGGGGCTGCAGGACTGGAGTCAGCCTGAGCTGGCAGACTCCAGAATAGGGAAGCCCATCCCCGAGGACCATTTAAACAAGATAAGCCTTGTGCAGTCCAATTTGTATAACTGATGGTTTGCTAACACGGATTTTGCTGCCTTCTCTCTGTTCTATAACGAGTACTGCTGCTGTCAATGGCTCTGTGCACCGAACCCAAGAATATTCTGGAACTTCCAGGGCAGTGGTTCTCCCACAGAGGAGCCTAGGGGTGCCATAGAAGTTCTTTTCTGTGCAAATGAGGAAACTGAGTCTGGAGAGAGAGAGGGCCCTGCCTAGGGCCTCCCAGATTGTCCAAGGCAAAGCCCAGATAGATATGGTATGTCAGTGATCCCACCAATATGTGCTGAAATTTCTCTCCGAACCTTTTTGGGCAGGCTCCTCTTGTTCTCCTCTTATTTTAGGGTTGTGCTGTCGCTCTGTTGCCATGGTAGCAGAACCCTTTGATTTGTCGACCCACAGCCTGTCATTGGCTCACCGTGGTTATTCCACCTAACGACACCATGCTGTCACTTGCTTCTCTCAGATCTCTGTCATTCAGCCCAGCAGTGAACAATGTGCCCGCCCAGGAGGAGATGTCCTAGTGCTGAAATTTCTCTCCGAACCTTTTTGGGCAGGCTCCTCTTGTTCTCTTATTTTAGGGTTGTGCTGTCGCTCTGTTGCCATGGTAGCAGAACCCTTTGATTTGTCGACCCACAGCCTGTCATTGGCTCACCGTGGTTATTCCACCTAACGACACCATGCTGTCACTTGCTTCTCTCAGATCTCTGTCATTCAGCCCAGCAGTGAACAATGTGCCCGCCCAGGAGGAGATGTCCTAAGGTATCCTCCAAGGGGCCGTTTTTTCAGGACCCCAGCCAGAGAGAAAAATCTAGGCTTGGGGAGAGGTGATCTCTGCCCCCTCCAACCCTTGTCTGCCCTAGACTTTCTGAAGTCCCCTTAGATTCCAGGCATAGGCCTTACTCCATGTTACATTTCCAAGCCTTTGCCGGTGCCATGCCCCTTTCCAGAACTTTCACTGCCAAGTGGATGACTCGAGCTTCAGCACCAGTGTTCTCTCCTGTGGAGGCATGTCTCTGAAGCCACTGGCTTCCCAGAGCTGACACCCACTCTGCCCTGCTGCCTTCCCGGCATCCTGAGAGCTCTTCCATCAGGACACAGCATGGCGCTCACTCGTCTGGGCACAACACACCCCTCCCGCACCCCTGCTGGACCCCCAGCCTCTCTAGGACAGGGCCACATTAGAGCCAGCCTCACACTACCCAGCCCAGCACCCCCACCACATCGTCCACAGGGGGACAGAGTGATCTCATGGCATCTACAGGCTAGTGGAGGAGTGGACTGAACATGCAGACAGATAAGCACTGTTACTACAGATTGCGCTGATTCTGAGAGCATTTAGAGGTAAATAAACAGGACAAAGGACGCGAGAACAACAGGATGGCTGCATGGAAGAGATTCTCCCCTGCGAGTGCACACAGTGTCCCGGGAGGAGAGTTCCCTGGAGTCCTGCAGGAGCACACTATTCCTTTGCATGTAGAAGTATAAATAGTATATAGCACTCATCCAGTGCCAGGCACCGCTCTGAATGCAACACAAGTGTGAACTCAGGTCATTTCATCTCCATAGCCCTGGGAGGTAGGATCTGTTATTTCCCCATTGTACAGATGAGGAAACAGAGGCACAAAGAGGGTCAGTGACTTGCCCAAGTTTACACAGCAGTGAGTGGTGGTGCCTGGACTCCAGTGTGGCAGTCTGTGTTCACCATGCTGCCATCCCACCTACAGCACAGGTGAGAGTGGTCTCGAGAAAGGCAGGGAGGTCCTGAGTTCTGGTTTCACCACCTCATCCCTCTTTTGGGGGCTGCCTCAGAGCATTTGGCTGTGGCCATGGAGCCTGACCCACAGCCTCCATGCAACTGCTGAGCCTCCAGCTCTGGCTTGGTACCCCAGTCTCCCCATGTGCCCCAGGATGGTTCCAGCCTCACTCTCACTTATTCAACAAAATGTAGAAAATATATAGTGTGAGCCTGCTATGCAACAGGCTGAGCCAGGCTCTGGCGAGACAGCAGTGAACAAGATGGACCCTTGCCTCCAAGGACTCCTCAGAACAGTGGGCAGATGGACAAGTTCAGGGCTAACTCACATCCCATGTAGTATACAGGGTGCTACAAAGCTCCAGAAGGGGCACCTGCCGGCATCAGAGAACCAGGAAAGGTTTCTCAGCTGCAAGCCAATGAGGCATGAACAGACACAGGAGGTGGAAAGGCACCTCCTCGGGAAGGGCACTCGGGTAGAGGCGGCTGTATTTGGAAAGTGGCAGCTTGTCTGACTAACCAAGTGCTGGGAAAACGCAGGGCAGTGGAACGTACCCACAGCCAGAGGCTGGAGCATCAGCACAGCACTTCAAAAACGATGTGACATGAGTAAAGTCAAAGATGCCCACACCCCATAGCCCAGCGGATCCACGAGGACACGTTCTTAGAGAGAGTCCCACAATGTGCCCAAGGAGACCCAAGCACAGGTGGTCATGGCAGTTCTGTTCTTAAGG